TGCATTCCTATGATTCTAGAATAACTTAAATTTCTATAAGATAAAATCAACCATCTTGGATCTAATTTAAAAGAGAAGAATCAAGTCTTTTAATACAATATGCTACTATTAAAATTTAACTTGAACTTTACTAAAATTGCTAATATCAGAGTTGTAAAATATAATGAAGAGATTGAAATTTTTAAGAGGAACTACTTATAAATTTCTGAAACAGCAGATGAATAAGGTTTAAAACTTTATTAGAAATTTGGGGCAAAATAATTGAACGACAGATAAAAATATCGAATGCAAATAAAAATAAACCTAATTATGGAATAATGTTTTCATGGTTAAATGAGATCTGAGATAGAATAAGATATTTAAAATAAATAGAAAGAAAAAAGAAAAACTCTTAAGCCATCTTGGACTTTTGGAGATGACATTGGAATAGGAGTTAAAAAGTTCCCATATCGTGTTAGATGGACAGGATGTAATTGTGTGGATCACTCATTTTTTATAATTTCTAATTATCTGGAAAATCATAGTAAACATCTTTTACTGCTCAGAAAATTATCAGTTATTTTAAGATATCTCACTTAATCATTTAAGACAGATGAAGATACTATATCTAGAGCATGGTTTATTTTTTGTACACATCTCACATCTAAAGAGAGAACTATAATTTAATCTAATTCTTCAATTTTAAACGGATTAAAGAAACTCAAACTAAAAAATTCAGAAGCTGAAAAATGTAGACAATATTTTATTTAATATATTGAATTATTAGACTAAGATTTTTTGTCTCAATTATAAGATGAATGGTAAAATTATATTGAAGGATAAAGTAAAGTATTATCATTATGGTCAAACAATTAAATTTTCTAAACAATTGAATTTAAAGCATTATCAGTTAGCGATAAATATTATGCACTTACAAGTATGTCAAAAAATGTTTATGCTTTATAATCTTATTATCCATTAGCAACCTAGATTTATAATTAAGGTATTATATATATGAAATATAATTAGTATATTAAAGAAAAATAAAAAAGGGATAGATATTTCTAAGTGAATTATAATAGATTTATGATGCTTCTGCATATTATCCTCTTCCTTTTAATAATTTATATACAACAAATAAAATTGAAGATGATGAAGCAAAAATAAAAACAAAAGAGATAAAATTCAAATATGCCTTCACCAAATTTGAATAGAAATAATGAAGAATATAAATTTTTTCTTTTTTGCTTTTAATTTAAACAATTCCTTTTTTTATAACAATTAATTAATTAATATTAAATTAAATATAATCATCATTTTAATATAAAAGAATTTATAAATTGATTTATGAAATTATAAATTATATTAATTGAATAAAAGGCAAATAATTATTTCATATTAAATAAGATTTAATAATATACTAATACAAAAATCAATCATCTTGATCTTTGTTTAATTGTTATATGCTTTTAAAGTATTAAACAAAATTTATTAAAGAAAATTTCTACTCTTCTTTTTTAATCTATTTCATTTGAGATCTAAGTGTTTATTTCTTACCTCCTATTGTATTACCTAATACATTCGTTATCTGACTAGATAAATGAGGTAACTCTACTCTAGGATCATAAGGTGGTTCATCACCATCAGTAAAAGAATCCTCTAATTTCTATTTCAATGACTTAAAATCATTTATCATACATTTATCAACTCCTTTAATATCTGGATCATTTGGTGGAAGAGTTGATTTCATTTCATTTCCTATATTTAAATAGACATATAATAGAAAGCCATCTAATTTAGTGTGTAAATCTTTAGGCCTTCTATCATCAATATCCATATGTTTGTCACCACGAATAATTGACAATTTTTCAGCCAATCTACTACAAGCTTCAATGAATTCATGAAAATTCATTTAATAATGTTTGGATGAGAAGAGTTCATCTTTTTAAGTAATCATAGATTATAAATAAACTAAACAACATTCCCTTTCATTTAGGTCATCACATATTAATTTACATTAATTTACCATATCTTTAAAATCTTGTATTGATACATATTCAAATTTGAATTATTAAGGTTTCTTACTTAATTTACAACAATATTTGTAAAGAGATTTTAACATAGCAATTCTATCATTTAATAAAATATCACATTTTTAATTCCATAATCTAGTTTTTCTCCACTATTATGCTTAATCAAATCTACTAAAGTATTCTTAACATTATTATTTTATAGCACTGATTGAATCTACCATTGAAGTAAATAATCCTGGACGTATATATTTATCATTGCATAATCTTATCATAATTTCAAGTAATTAACATCTAACTAAACCTTTTTCATATGCTTAAGGAAATGATACATCTTTTGCTGCACTAGTTGATGTAAAACTAATATCAATATCATTAGTTTTCATTCCTTCCATTAATGATGTTTAAACTAGAAAATCAATATAATCATATATCAAAATACAAGGAATAGGTTGACCTTGTGAACCAGCAGCATGATATTTATATACATGAAATAAATTTCTATATAAATCTTTTAAACTTTCCTTTACTTCAACTATCTCTGTTTCCTTAACCAATCTTGTTACTTTTGAGTTTTGAAAATCAAATTCAAAACATTAATCAATTAATTATGGAGTATCTGGTTAAAAATTTCGAAAAATAGATGTATCAACTGACCAATTATGCTTTTTGATATTCAAATAAGGTGAAAAGTCAAATTTAGCTTAAGGTTCTCTAGGTTTACATTAAACTAAGGGCATATATTTATCAAATAATTATTATTTATTGTATGTTTAAAGAATGTTTACTTAATCAAGTGCATTTCCATCTACTAAAATTTCATCATTATATAAAAAAGGTATAGAAGGAATTGGAGTGTCCAAGTATTTTATTTGTTAATCCATAGCAGGTTATTAAACACCCAATATTGGATTTGTAAAAAAATAATGTATTTCTTGATTAGGTGGACACATCTTTACAAAAAAGAATTCATTATTTAAATGAGTCATTAAAAGAGGTCGATATTCTTCAAAATCAAAATGAATAAATATAGGTTCATTATATAAACTACCAGATTTATAAGCATTCCATTCAAATCTAATTTCTTACCATCCTTCACAAATCCAACATGTATCTTATTTACTTAATTGATTAACTTTTTAAAAATTTGATTTTGTAGATCTAATCTTTCTCTATCTACTAAATGGCATTACTAATTCTTCATATTACTTAGGAGGTTGATAGGATTGTTATTTAGGAATTTCTAACAATTTGAAATATTAAGGTTATTTATAAAGTTAAATTAGTTTATCACTTAAAGCTTTTTTGAATTGAATATTATTAACCAAAAAACCATTTGGATTAACAACCAATTCACTTTAATTTCCTTCAAAATGAAAACCATAAATAGTTTCATTTTTGATTAAAGATTCTGCAATTAATTAAGCTTATGGATATGTAAATTTATTATAGGATAAATCTACATGAAGTAATTCATTATATGGTCTTGCAATAGCTTTAGCAATTGATACTGCACAATCTAAAGAAGCAATATTATTATGAGACAAATCTAATATTTTGACACTAGTATTTTTATACATAGCTTTCCAAATTACATTTCCAGCACTTGAATTTAAATTATTATATCCCAAATATAATTCTAATAATCTTTATGTTTATTTTAATAAATTAGATATGGCCATACTAGAACATTCAGTAATTTAATTGTTATTTAAGTTCAAATGTTATAGTGTATTATTATTCATTAAATATTTCATAATAATTTTACATCCTTAATCACGAATATTATTTTTTTCTAGATTAATTTTTACTATTTAATTTTTATTAATAAATGACATTAAAATGTCCATGTGTTAATAATGAAGTTTACAATCAATTAATTCTAAATCTTTAAGTGCATTTGGAAAAGTTAATAAAACATCTCTTAATTATTATGGATCAAATATATTATGATTCATTTAAAGAGATGTAATAGTTTTACTTTATTAGGTTAACATTGCACATGAGAATGCTCTACAATCTTCTCTTGATCTTAAACATCTATTTGTATTTACAGCTTATAATTAAGAAGTATTTTATATTAATCCAAAAGTCTTGGGAACTCTTTTTGGCTGAGAAAGATTGAGACTCAAATAAATATTTTGAGGCTATTATTTATACACCTTAGCATATTCATTAAGTTTGGATGAATGTCGCACTGAAGAAAGAAAGTCTTGCGAACTCAAGTTAGGTAACAATTTACTTTTTCATATAAAATATATAATCTTACTTTCCTTGTCTCATTCTTTAAAAAAACACATATCGTTCATTTCCATCTTGCCAAATTCTACTTCTTTTAGTAGTTTCTTATGTTTTGGTTTTTGAAGCTAGTTCTTATTGTAATTCATCTTAGGAGTTAATTTGACGGATTGTTTCTTAATCCTTCTACATGAAATTTTACCAATCACACACTTCATGTTTCAAAAGATCTTCAGCCATCTTTTTCTCTAAGCTTGAAGACGAATCAAGCTTTGCTTATTCAATTTCTTCATCAGGTTTACGTTTTTTAAAGAGTTTTCTTTCTGTACTTTTGACAGTTGAAAGTTGTTTATTTAATCTGGTAAATACAAAACCCATATCACTTTTGTGAGGTAAAAACAATCGTTTAAAAGATTCTGGTGATTGAGCTTGTGCACTTTAAGCATCCTCAAGGAAAATCATCTTTTAATATATTTGTTATAATATTATTATCTAATGAATAATATTTAGGAATAATGAATAATTGATTTCACATGTGAGCTTTACAAAATAGAAATAGGTTTTTATCAGTAGCATAAGAAAAGAAGAAAAAAATAATATTTTCAATTACAAAGAATTTAATTAGAAATTTATTATGAATCTAATTATAAAACTATTGCATCTTAAACTGTATTACTAAAAATTAGAATAAACTTATTAATTAAAAGTAAGTCTATTTCACAATTGAATTATGAATCTAAATTATTTTTATACTCAATTTTCATCAAATCCTGATAAATCTCCACATGTAATAAATTTATAATATTTAGACTATTCCTTTTCTATTTATTAATCAGTAACTTCTTATTTTTGTTTTTCTGCTTATTCAATTTCTTTCAAAAATGTGTATAAGTGGAAATTTTATGTTTAAATTTTTGGAGTATATTGAAGACATCTACATTTATTAAAAAATATATTACATTATAAAATATTCAACACTTGATGCTCTACTTGATTTAGGTTTCATAAAATATACTTAATTGAAGAATAATTTAAATTAGGAATACAACAATTTGATATCTGAACCTTTAAATATTTTTGCTACAAAAATTCCATTTTCTCTTAATGTCATCAAACAAATATTCAATGCAGCCACAATCAATTAAGATTAGATGTAATAATCAATATCATGAAAACCTGTTACATCAGGTGCTCCATCACAAACAATTATATCTGCTCTTTAATAATTAAATTTCTTCAATATCTCATCCACTGTTGTTTTTTTAGTTATATCTCCTTGAATTTAGGTTACATGATCTAATGGTGCCATCTCTTACAAATCCACAGATACTATTCTACAACTCTCAGATGGAAGGAAATTCTTTTCTGTCAACTTTTTAACCAAAACTTATGACCAACTACCAGGAGCTGCACATAAATCTATGGCTCTCTCAACTTGTCTAAAAATTTAGAAAGAATCATCTATTTATAATAGCTTATAAGCTGATCTAGCTCTAAATTAATCTTCTTTGGCTTTCCTATAATAAATATCCTAAATATAGTGAATAGTGATTGTATAGTGATAAGTTTATAGATAATAAGTATATTATAAAATACTTATTTAGAATATGATGAATTTCTTTATACTCGTTTATCTTTTGTGAATTTGCCCATATATATATAATTAATTATTTAATAATATAAAAATTTAACCTTACTATTAAGATAAACAACTTAAATATTATTTAGGTTTGACAATATATAATCTAAAGAATTTTTAGAAAATAAATGATATTTAATAAAAAATCTTATATTTTGTCTACCAATATTACAAATTATTATATCAAAACGATAATTTATTAGAGACCTAATTATAAGCAAAAGAGATTTGCAATTTTAATTTATATATATTAATGAAAACCACATAGACTTTTCGTATCAAATCCAAAAAGAGTACTACAAAAAATAATAATCAATACAAATCACTATAAATGAGTCTAACATGTTAATCTTTAACAAATAGAACCAAAAAATAATAAGAACATTTTTATTAGAGTTTCATTAAAATCCAACCAATGCAAGTGTTATAATAATAAAATAGTATCACTTGTAGATAATCTATATTGTCAATTAGTGATAGTTAAGTAAGTGCAGATGAAGAATTTGAGATATGGGATGATAATTAAGATTTAAGAGTGAAGAAAATAATAATTGATGATAAACAGTCTTCTATTGGTTAGTTTTTGTAACTCTACAAAGCTAGATATGGGTAATATTCTATATATATTTAAGGGGATTTCCAGGATATAGATAACATATTGAAAATGAAGATGTTATAAAAACAGCCATTTCTTATGCATCGTCAAGTAAAAAACTCTTCAAAAAATATTTCCCAACTAAAAAAATTGTATTTGAAGATCAAAATGATTATTCTTAACCTTATAACATAGAGGATGACTAGCATTTTTAAAAATTCAATAGATTCTTTAGAAACAAGAAACTGTTAACCACTCTTAAGACATCTTAATATAGTATGAAGAATACTCTATATACCTGAAAATCCTTATTTTTATAAACTTTTTTTATCTAAATAAATAAGTTGTAGTAGAATTCTTAATTGACCTCTTTGTTGTATTTTGTTTTTCTACAAAGAAACCATTATAAAAAATCAATTGATAAAAAATTCACTGATCTTAATAATTTAATTTATTAATGTTTTAATATTGATTTATTAAATATGAAATATCACTTGAGCAAATGATCTACTGCATTTCTCTCATCAACTAATTCTTTTATGGTTTTATCAAGAAGTCCTTAATAGAAGTGTGAAATTGGTAATCCCTAAACAATAGAATATTTTCCATTTTTGACAGCAACTGGAAATGAAAAAATTAAACCTTTAGGAACTCCATAGCTACCATCAGAAGGGATTGCCATAGATGTAAAATCACCTAACATTAAATATGGATTACCTTCAGCAGTTCCATTAACCCAAGTAGTAATATGATTCATAGCAGCATTTCCTGCTGATGCTGCACTGGACAATTTTCTAGCTTTGATGATTTCAGCTCCTCTTTATTGTACTGTTGGAATAAATGTTTAGGATACCCATTATTAATCAACAGAAGCTTTATGATCTAATAAATATTAACTTTTATAAATTACTTTTTGCTGTCATTTAATCAATATAAGGTACCATAGTAGGAGAATGATTTCCAAATATGGCTATTCTTCTAATATCAGTAGTATGAACTCCTAATTTGTCAGCTAATTAATGTTATGCTCTATTATGATCTAATCTTGTCATAGCTGTAAAGTTTTCTTTTGGAATATCTTTAATTTAATTTGCTAAAATTAAACAATTAGTATTGCAAGGATTACCAACAACTACAACTTTAATATCTCTACTTGCATGTTCCTATAATTTAATATTAAATATTCTACATTAATATACTTTCCAGTTTCTGTAAATATTTTTCCATTGTCTTTTAATAAATCTCCTCTTTCCATTCCTGGACCTCTAGGTTTTGCACCAACAAGAAGAGCATAATCAACATTTTTGAATCCAATTGCTTAGTTATCTGTAGCTACAATTCCTTTGACAAGTGGAAAAGCACAATCTTAAATTTCCATTACCACTCCATTCAAAGCAGCCATAGCAAATGGTAAATCAATTAAATGTAAAATAACTGGTTGATTTGGTCCTAACATCTCTCCACTTGCAATTCTAAATATTAATGAGTAACCAATTTATCCAGCTGCTCCTGTAATTGCAACTCTAACAGGAGGTTTTTTAGATGCATGTCCAGAATGACTAAAATAAGCTTATGAAGCTATATTTAATTATTTTGAAAAGGTGTTTAGGAGATATTTTTGCATAATTGATTTGTTATTTTTATTTTAGATATGATTGCTTCATATTTAAGTCAAATAGTACGTAATAAATTATACATATAAAATGAATTAAAACACTTAAGCAACAGAGTAATTAGTACATGCTGGAAAATGGTTACATTTTAAACTTCTTCTATTTAATATTAATGATAGATAAAAGATTTGGGAATACACAGAAAAACCACCTGGTTATAGAGGAGGAGTAAGAGTAATACCAATAGTAAGATATAAGAATAAACCGAGTAAAATAATCATAGTTGCTAATTTCAGACCACCAATTCGTAAATATTGTTTAGAATTTCCTGGAGGATTGATAGATAAAGAAGGAACCCCTTAAGAAAATGGAATTAGAGAATTAAAAGAAGAAACAGGATATATAGCTACATTAAATAATTACCAACATAAAGATGTTATTACTAGAACAGATCCTTGGAAATCAAATGAATATTGTTATAATTACATAGTTGATATTGATGGTGATTCAGAATTTAATTAATAACCTTAATAAAGTTTAGATTTGGAAGAAAATATTTTAGTGTATGAATTATCACTGGGTAAGAGTCTAGCTGAAGAATTATAATAATTATAGAAAGACAAAGATTATGAAATATCTGGATAAGTTTGGCTATTCGCATTAGGGTAATAATTTACAAATATTTGATTAAAATATTAATATTATTAAAAATCAATTATATAATATAATTTTTATCAATACATTTCATTAATCTCTTAAAACCTTTGTAATTCTATAATTAATGATAATTACTAATTGTATAAAATGGATTCAATGAGTCAATATCAATAAACTTTTCTTAATTGATAAAAATACTTATAAAATAGTGTTATTTCATCATTAATCAGTATGTGCAACTATCCAGCTGAAATATTATTAATAGAGTAATTTACATCATTATAAGTTTCTATAAAGTAGATTTATATAATTTATCATCTCTTGTTTTACTTATCCTTTTGCAATTTAAAAAGGTACTTTCAATTTAAAGTCACATTATCAACACAATGATACAAATGAATAACTCTCAACTTTCTAAGTTAATGAGGCAAATCTATTATCTAATTGAAGTATTTACTTTTTGGAATATATATCAAGTTTTAAAATATTTTTGAGAGGTCAAATTAAATATCCACTTAAATAAATAATTCAAAAACAAATTTTATTATTATCAATAGACTTACTTATATCACACCATATATCATTAATCTCATCAATTAATTTAGTTTTTTTGAAATAGATAAACTCTCTAGCTGATATTATAGAAACACTTTTATAACTTAAAAATATGATTTATTCTTAATCTTTTTTATTCTAAATCTAAATTAATCTATTCTATTATCTAATTATTTTTGTTCTTAAAAGTCTCCCATAGAATCAATGAATTTTTTAGTATCACATTGTGCTATAAATTGCCTGATAATAGTATTTATATTGTTTCCATCTTCCATTTCAGTTTATAGCCAAAATATATTTTTCCTATATATGCCTATTGAATTTTAAAAAAATGAACACATCAACTAAGAAGTTGAATTGAAATCAATTAGTCGAAAAACTAAAGGATATTTTATACCCAATCAAAAATGATAGCAATGAAGACTTTGATGATATGAATCACTTTTAATTTGTTAAAGATTTAGAACATTATGAAAATAATGGATAAAAATGAGTATTTGATCTCCTATAATTTATTTAAAAAATTAAATAATTAATTATTTATATCTGATAAGTCTATCTATCTATTAATTTGATATATATATATTTTATACTTTTTGTAATCGATCAAAATTATATAATTGAATAGTTTGTGATATTTATCCTAATCATTATAACTTGAGTATTCATAAACTAAATTTATTATCTATTGTGACTAAAAAATAAAGACCACACTTATATTTATTAATTCATCTTTTTCATAAGACTTTTATAATAATGTTTTAGAAAATTTCTATTTATTCAAAAATTAATGATATTTTACAAATTATTCTTAAATATGATTTTTTATTAATAAAAAAATAATGTTTTAGAATTGGTTTTAGATTCTAAATTGATATAAAATTAAAATTCATTTACTTTTCTCAAATTTTCTCCAATACTCTTGCTAAAACTTAAGCAAATTTAGTCTCTCTAATTTTTCTTTTTCTTTCTCTGTCACAAAAACGTTATTAGTAAATAATAGATTAAGTACAGATAATTGCAAATATACAATCAACAAACCCTCCGACAATATTTTCGAGGAAAAAAATGCTTTTTTATTTATACTTTGGTTTTTCCAATACTTTATGCTTAATTTATTCCATATTATTTATTTTAGCCCAGCCGCTTTACAAATGATATCAATTTTACTAAAAGCAGATGCAAGGAGCGTTAAACGATTATAAAATTATTGAAAATCATCTTCTTAAAGGTATTAATTTTAATCATCCGATTAAGATATAATATTATTAAAAGTATTCAATTATTCAATATACTACTAAATATCCTAAGTAATTATATTTTGTGGTATATCTGAGAATAATTTTATTTCATTTTAACTTATATCATACATTTGTTTAAATTTATCATTTATACTTTTGGTATCATCATAAAGCATCTTAGCAATGAAATCACTTTATATAATGTTAAAGATATGTTGATAAAACTTTTTCCGATGAGGTAATAACTTTTTCAAACTATCTTTCAATTCAGGAGTTAAATTGAATTCAAAATTTAAAGATTAANTGCCTATTGAATTTTAAAAAAATGAACACATCAACTAAGAAGTTGAATTGAAATCAATTAGTCGAAAAACTAAAGGATATTTTATACCCAATCAAAAATGATAGCAATGAAGACTTTGATGATATGAATCACTTTTAATTTGTTAAAGATTTAGAACATTATGAAAATAATGGATAAAAATGAGTATTTGATCTCCTATAATTTATTTAAAAAATTAAATAATTAATTATTTATATCTGATAAGTCTATCTATCTATTAATTTGATATATATATATTTTATACTTTTTGTAATCGATCAAAATTATATAATTGAATAGTTTGTGATATTTATCCTAATCATTATAACTTGAGTATTCATAAACTAAATTTATTATCTATTGTGACTAAAAAATAAAGACCACACTTATATTTATTAATTCATCTTTTTCATAAGACTTTTATAATAATGTTTTAGAAAATTTCTATTTATTCAAAAATTAATGATATTTTACAAATTATTCTTAAATATGATTTTTTATTAATAAAAAAATAATGTTTTAGAATTGGTTTTAGATTCTAAATTGATATAAAATTAAAATTCATTTACTTTTCTCAAATTTTCTCCAATACTCTTGCTAAAACTTAAGCAAATTTAGTCTCTCTAATTTTTCTTTTTCTTTCTCTGTCACAAAAACGTTATTAGTAAATAATAGATTAAGTACAGATAATTGCAAATATACAATCAACAAACCCTCCGACAATATTTTCGAGGAAAAAAATGCTTTTTTATTTATACTTTGGTTTTTCCAATACTTTATGCTTAATTTATTCCATATTATTTATTTTAGCCCAGCCGCTTTACAAATGATATCAATTTTACTAAAAGCAGATGCAAGGAGCGTTAAACGATTATAAAATTATTGAAAATCATCTTCTTAAAGGTATTAATTTTAATCATCCGATTAAGATATAATATTATTAAAAGTATTCAATTATTCAATATACTACTAAATATCCTAAGTAATTATATTTTGTGGTATATCTGAGAATAATTTTATTTCATTTTAACTTATATCATACATTTGTTTAAATTTATCATTTATACTTTTGGTATCATCATAAAGCATCTTAGCAATGAAATCACTTTATATAATGTTAAAGATATGTTGATAAAACTTTTTCCGATGAGGTAATAACTTTTTCAAACTATCTTTCAATTCAGGAGTTAAATTGAATTCAAAATTTAAAGATTAACCATTTTTTTATCTTGCTATCAATATTTTTTCACATTTCTTTAAAAGATCATCCTTTATCTGTTTTATTTTTTATAAAAAATTCACTTGTTATAATTTTTTTAGCTCTTATTATTTTGATTTGGTTTATTCTTGTAGTTTTTTTAATTCTTCCTAATTCTCTACATCTATTTCAACAAATTTTTCAATCAAAGTTTTAATTTCTGAATCCAATTATTTTTTCTGAAATTCAATTTCATAGTTTTCCGCAATATAAATTATAAAATAATTTCCATCATCAATTGCTTTTTTAATTATGTTCAAAATCTTTAATTAAAATTGGTCTTAAATATCTTTCATTGTATCATTTTGCCATTTAATTTTAATTTTCTCCATAGTAGAATCATTTCTTATTTTAGTAAATACAGGAAGGATAAGATTTTCAAGACAATTATCATTATTTTATTTTCCTAACATCAAATTGATTGTTTCTATTGAATCTATTAAATCATTTTTATTTTTTATAAGTTCTTCCCCATCAATCATCAATAAAAAAATCTGTTATTTTGCTTTAATTACTTCAATGAAGGTTTTGTAATGATTTATAACTCTATTATTATTAGAAGTATCTCGTAACCCTGGAGAATCAACAAATATAAAATTATCAATCTCCTGATTTTACAACAAAAATGTTTCACTATTATTTGAATCAGATATAACAATATTATTATCTTTCACTTTTACATCAAAGTTCTTATTCTGATTAACTATAATATTCTCTGGATTTTTTAATATATTCAATAATGTACTTTTTCCAACTCTTGTCATACCTAATACAAAAACATGAGGTTTATCTTAATTTATCTTCTAATTTTAAGGGATTATCATTCTCTTCAGGTAAGCCAAGCTTTATGGAAGATATAAGTTGAATTACTCGAACCAAAACTTTATATCAATTATAACCCTCATCAAAGTTGCATTTATAGAATCTTAATTATAATTATACTTTTTTAATTTTTGTAAAACTTCATTATCAGATCCTACTAATTCAAATTTAAATTGAAGTAATTAATTAAAAACATCATCAGGGGATTCATCTTTGTAAATTAATTTTAGGTATTTTTAAAATTCACTATTTTCTTTAACAATATCACTCAAATATTTTATCAATTAATTTCTAAATTTATTTAAAACAATATGAATTTGTTTTACCTTCTCATCAAACTCATAAATATCTTTCAATATCATATAAATTTCACCAATAATAGTCTTCAAACTTTCCAAATATTACTTAACATTATCATTTCTTTCTATTTCATTATTCAGATTCACTGGGAATTCAATCATTAAGGATATGTCTTTTTAAAGTTAAATAAGTTCTTTTTCAAATACTTTTAAAACTACATTTACCTTATCTTATACGTAATTTTAACATTTATATCCTATTAAATTGGGATCATTCTTTTTAAATTAAAAGTAATTCAAAAATTAATCCAAAGTTTCAATAAATTTAGAGTCAAATTTACCATGTTATTTGCTTTTTTAAAAATCTATTTTTTTTTTTGACAACTTACAATAATTGATTATCTCGGAGTCCTACTAATTATACAAAAAAATGATATCATTTAGCACATCGAAAGATCCTTCAAGTATTTAATAAATACACTTTATTATATAATCTTCAAAATCTTTTTAATTAAGTTATTTTTGTCTAAAATGAAATACAAACTTTATCTAATAGTTTTGTTAAGTGGAAATGAATTCCTATAACAATATTCTAAATCTAAACAAATTCTATATATTTATTTGTTCATCTTATTGAATTAACTTATTAAAGTAATAGCAGAAAATAGATTATTTATTTTCTCTATTTTTTATTTGAAACTCACTTAAAATTCCACCCTACCAATATTTTTTTATAAATATATTAGTTGATAGTTGAGCCAAAGCCTTTGAATATGTTTCATCATTTGTGAGATCAATATAAAATAAAAATTTTTATTTCTGATTTTCTTTAGTAAGTTCTGATTTATCAATCGGTATATCAATACTGTAAATATGTTTAAACTCTTAAAAGAATTTCTCCTATTATTCCATTCGATGAATTAGATATCTAATTTTTATTTTAAATAAGGAAATCAAAGATTAATGGAATTCTATTATAAATTAACTATTTCTGATATTCCCTGATGATTTTATAAATTTTCAGATTTTAAGGAGATATTGTAATAAATGAATAAAAAAATATATTATTTGAGGTATAATATAATTATAAAATTTATAATAAAAATGAAATAAGCTATTTAAAAAGCTTTGATGGAGATTGCAAATCCTAAAAAAGGAAAAGAAATTTCTGCTTATATGAAAAATGTTCTTCCTTTTAGAGGTCTATAATAACCAGAAATTGCAAAAGTTTTTAATCAATTCAAGAATGAAATAAAAGAAATGGAGGATGATTAAAAGTATGAGGTAGCTGATTTTTTGATGAGATAAGAATATGGAGAAGATAAGAAAATAGCATTAATGATTGCAGAAAAAATGAAATTTGATTTATAAAGAATAAAGTTAACAGAAAAATGGTTTATTGATGGTCATATAAAAGAATGGGCAACAGCAGATACATATTGTGGAAGAGTATTAAAGAGTTTTGTAATAGATAAGGAAAATGCAAAATTAATGTTAGATTGGGCTAAACATGAAAATTTATGGATGAGAAGATCTAGTTGTGTAGGATTTGTAACTTTAGCACGTAAGAAAGTATGTGATATGAATTTACTTTATGAAATATGTTAGGAGAACATTATTCATTAAGAACGATTTAATTAATTAGGAACAGGTTGGTTATTAAGGGAAATGTCATTAGTTGATTTAAAAGGAGTAATTGAATTTATAAAAAAAAACATAAAATATTTTAGTAGTGAAGGTTTAAGATATGCTTATGAGAAAATGAAAAAAAGTGATTAAAATTATTTGAAAGAATTATTAAGAATGAAAAATATATAAACTAATAATTCAGAAGATGAATAAGAAGTTTAGGATGAAATATAATAGAAATCAAATGATTAAGATGAAGAAAGTGAATAAGATTTTAAAATTAAGAAATCTAAAAGATAAAGTAGAACAATAAAAAGGAAACTTTGATTTATACATAAATAAAAAAATCATTCCCAATTACTTGGTGGGATTGTGTTTAATCTAATTTACAATTTGTCAATTTTTCCATATTTTAATTCTATATCATCTCTTGTTGCATTTGTTAGTGCAGTATTTAATAATTCTACTTCCAATTAATCTATTTTTGGTAAAGCCTATTCTAAAAGTACAAAAATATCTTTGATTCCTTTATCAGTAATTTAATTTTAACTTACTCTTAAATCAACAACCTAAATATAATTAAATATATATATTTACTTTTGGTGATTTAGCATTTTTGACAGCTCTAGCTAATTCAAGTGCACCTCTATCAGATAATGAATTAAAGTTCATATTGACACTTAATTATTATAAATTTTTTTAATATTGAATTCCTTCAGCAATAAATGTTGCTCCTGCATCACCTATATAATTTTCAAGGAAATTAATTTTTAAAGATTTTAATCTATCATGTTTAAATAAAGCTTTTTTTAATAATTCTGCTCCTGGTGATCCACATTTATTAATTCCAATTATTAATTCTAAATTATTTAATGGTGGTAATTTTTCAATTGCACTAACAATTGCTTCATAACCATCCCAACCAAAATTCTTTGTCGCAGCATTTACAGATAAATCTTTAAGATTTTTTAATTTATTTAATGCATTTCCAACTTATATACCTCCTTCATTAGTTATGTAATTAAATTCTAAACCTAAATTTAATGATGTTAAGTTTTCCATAGAACCTACAACTCCCATTAAACTTTCTGTTCCATTTGCTGTAATATTATTAAAATATAGATCTATTCCAAATTCTTTTAATTATTTTTATTAAAATAATCCTCCACTTAAAGTAATTGCTCCATCTATTTATATTTTATTTGCATATAGATTAATATTTAATTTGTTTAATTTTGGTAATTTATGCAAAATTGTTTACAAATGTTTCATTTCTTCTTCTTTCAATTTACTACCAACTAATAAAAGTTCTAAAGATTTCAAATTTCTTAATTCTATCAATGGATAAAGCGATTTCAATCCATCTCCAGATAAATCAGAATTTATGAGAGATACACGTAATTAAGTCAATCCAGAAATTTTACTTAATCCCTTTAAAATTATTTCTCTACTTTCATTATTGAAAATAGAATCAAGTCCTAAGCTTAAAGTGTGTAATTTTGTAAGTTTAGATAATGCTTGACTTAATGATTTAGCTTAATCTTATTCATTAACTAATGGATTATTTCCAAGTGAAAGTTATACTAAAATATATATTTCATTATTATTACATTCATTCAAGTTATTTAATTTCTCTAAACTAGCAAAGAAATCTCTAAAATTACTAAATTGATTAATTGACAATTATGCATTTAATTTAGTTGTCTATGGATTTTCAGAAAGTTTTTTTGAAAGGGTTTATAGGTCAGAGTCTTTTAAATATAGGGCATCATTCTACATTGTGATTTCTAATTATAAATCTAAATATTACCATTTCCATTTATTTCAAAGTGAGCAGAAGACCTACTATTCAAATACAACTTAATATTGTAGGCCACTAGAACACCTACAATAATCCACAATATTTTATTAAAGGTAGATGAAGATCCCTTTTGTTGTTAATTTTCTTATTATGGCATTAAAATTAATTTTTTATGAATTCATCCAATTTCATTTTAATGTCATTTTATAAACCTATGACATCACAGTATAATAAAATTTACTTAATATAAAAGTTTGTTCTAGAATTTATTTAATTAATAATTAATTTTTTTTTTAATTGAAATTTATAAATACATAATTTATATATTTAAAATTCTATTTATATATTAATTTTTAGTAATATTAATTAATTATATTACTTCAAAATATTTGATTTATCCTATCCATAGATCCACATCATAAGTTTTTTTGTTACAACCTCTATTTATTGAAGGCAAATATTATAATTTTTAATGTAAATAAATCATTAATGAGTGAGATCATTAATAATGGAATTAACAATTTTAGAAAATATATTCAGAAACAATAATAAAGTAAAAAATGAAATTCATAGAAAGAAAGTATTTCAAAATAATGATAAGTTAAATTTAATCTATTTAAATATACTATTCTTAATTATATGGATTTCCTGGAAAATAATATATAAAAAATTTTCAATTATATTAATTTCAGATTCCCGAAGGATCATATAATAAAAATATATATCAAACAATTAGATCTTCTATTTCTTATTTCATCAATAGATTTGAAGATTCTTGAATAGCTTTTTATATCTTAATAAATTTCTAAATTTAATAGTATTAATACTGCAAATTTTGCTTTCAAATTATTATAACTATTGATTAATTTATCAAATAAAATATCTTTTTTTATATTAGGGATCCATTAATAAATATCATAATTATTACTTAATGTTGTTTATTAAGTACTTATATCCTATATTTATAAAATTTAATAAATTTTTACATCATTAAGCACTTCTATCTTTTTTATAAAATTTGGATCTTTTATATTCTTTTCAAATTTATTAATAATATTTTAAATCTATGGTTCATTATGATTTTCATTAACGGCATTCATCATTATTGATGTTTATGTTTCCCAAAAATATGTTTAATGATCCTTAAAATGTTAAAATGAAAGATATGCTTAAAGTAATTATAATTCTTGCAAATTTACAATTGCTTAAAAAGGAATCATCTTACAAATTATTATAATTGGAATTAATCTTTAAAAATTTTATGCCAATTTATAAAAATAATTTTGTGAATCCAATTATTTAGCTAATAAAGAAAAATGATGTAGAACAGATAAGGAATTTGAAAAATGTTATTATAGTAAATTATCAAATAATATTGAAGCTAAAGAAGCAATTGCAATATATTAGATGTATTCCTAAAACAATAAATGAAAATCATCTTATTCTTTTAAACTTAAAAATCTTGATGGTCTTTTAAATTCATTGAATTTATCCTTAAATTTATCGATTAAATAATTTTCAAACTTTTATAATTATTTTATTTACATTTTTATTGATTTATAAACCAAAATATCCTGATTTATCTGGATTTACTTCCCTCAATGCTGAATCTATGATTACCCATTTTAATATATTTTCATAATTATCCTAACCTAATATAGCCATTTTGCTTTTAATAAAAATTGGAAAATTTAATGTAATCAATGGTTTAAATGTTTCTGATTGTACTGAGCTAGATATAATTCTATATTATTCATTAATAAATTCAAATCTTATAGAATAACACTCAATTAATTGATCTATTACTCTTAAAGATATTTATTGATTTATTTCATTTAAAAATAATTTATTCTCTTTAACTAATTATTCTTTTTACTTTTAATTAAGGTAACTACCATATATATCATTTAAATATTGATTTTCAGAGCTTATTCTGTAAGTTCTCATCTATGACTATAATTCTTATTTCACAATATCTAATCTATTATAGATTAATAGATATGCATTAATTCCATTTTACATTCCAAAAGCATCTTAAAATACTTTTTGTTTTGTCTCAACATTTACATTCATATCATTAAATTTAAACCATTTGTCAAACCCAAAATCTTTTATGTAAGTATAAAAATGTCCAGAATCTAATAATAGAATATAAAAATATACTGGCTTATCCATCATGTATAAGAATGGATTATAGTAGATATTTATGTTTTTTTAAATCATTATAATTACTTTGAATTTTAATTTCAAGTTCATCGATTAGTTTTTATAATGATTACTTTTTTAGTTATACTTGTTATGAATATTATTACAATTATTAAATAGTTTATTTTGCATTTATAAAAATTAAATTACATCAACTATTACATCTTATAAATCTTTGCCATCATTAAATTTAGTTAATTATTATTAACTTAATTAAATCTTTTTTTATTTAATTTTTAATTCTTTATTTTGATTTCTAATGTTAAGATATTTCTCTCTATTTTCTATCAAAAATCTATCTAAATAGATTTCTTCATCAAAAGTAAACTCATCATTTTATTTAATTAACTCATCTAAATATTCTTTATAATATACTTTTTTATTTGCAATAAGTAACTCTTTAGATTTAAAATGATAATTTTTAAGGTGGAGATTATATCCAATTATATTTAACAGCCTAAACTATTTCATTAAAATCATTTTTGAAATCATCAATATTATTAACAACAAAGCTATCAAAACTATCATATAAATTTCCATCTTTTAAATCAAGTGGAATAAAATTAAAAAGTTCTGTACTTTCTCTTATTTATTAATAACCTCCTTGTTCAAATTGAAATTAGTGAAATATTTTGCATAAAAACAATTATGAAACAATATCTTCTTCATTGATTATAGAAGACTTTTACTTAAAAATTGATGATGAAGTATAAATTTAACTATCAACAATATTTTTACTTTTACGTTCTATTTAGGCTAGACCTTCTCCAATCCTACTTAAGAAATAATGATTGAATTCACCTACATCTTACTGATCTCCAATAGGAAGAACATTTCCAAAATCATCACAAATACTTTTAACAACTTCAGATGGATCAGCATATTTTTAATCACTCCCAATCATTTTTATAAAAAGATTTTATAGATTTAATACTAATTAGATTGATTTATTTTATTTGCCTTGTTATTGAGGTTAGAAGGTGATAATAGTCTTTACAAATTAACTATTAAAAAAATAAGTCTACAATAAACTATTAAAATAACAAGTATTTCCAATATTTTTTAATCTACATGGTATTCTATCAACTCTCTTTTTTTATTCAGGTGAAACTAATTCAAATATATGAGATCCTATCTATTAATTTGTTTGATAAGAATCAACCAATGCTTAAGTTATTAAAATTTCTTCATCTTAATTCTATTCTAATGTTTTTATAATCATACATCTTATTTAATCTATACCTTCTAATTTTAAATTGATAAAGTTAAGAGTGTATCCATCATTTCAGACTCCATATTAATTATTTCCCATGCCATATTAATTAATTCTAATGAGAATCCCATTTACGCATATTGATCTAATAATTTCTGGTTAATTTAAGTTTTCATTTTATTAAAAATAAATATTTTAATTAACTATTAAGAATACGGGTAACCCATTATTAAATATATTCTATTTGCTTTTTAGTATTAAGGATATAATCATAATGAAACCAGACATAAGATACAAGTAATCGAGATTATGATTAATAAATAAGAAATAAATATTAATTAGTATAATATCAAGAATTTTTTTGTATCAAAAACTCATCTATCAATTTTAGAGCTCAGAGTCTTCATAATCATTTTAGATGGATTCTAAATATTTTGTTAAGCAAGAAGGATATTCATAATATTTAGTTTTTGAAAGAAATGTTAATAGTACAGTGACTTATTTCTTGTATAGAAAATTGAGAAATTTTAGTGTTTAATTTTGTTTTAATCTATTTTTTGAGTATTGAATACCCTCCATATCTTATTGAGTATATTCATTTGTAGATTCAAGATGATTATAATCTTATCAGTCAAGAAATCTTGTTATTTCTTCTCAAATCTTTGAAGATTGTATTAGGATGAGATATTAGCAAGTATAACAAAACTAATACTTAAAGTTGATACACACATCTTTCTATTTACTATTCTTATTAAATAATTAGAAATATCAGATTGTATGCCATTCTTGAAAATGTTATGGGTGATTAAGTGTCAATTGAATAGTTAAAAGATCATATCCAATAACGAAACCATTATATATATATCAAATGTATATTAATAAGATAATCCTATTAAAGAGAAAAATATTATATTAGTTAGGTTGCTGATTCTTTATACAATTGATAGTTACAAAGTATTTGATAGGTGGTCAAAGCGATATTGATTAGAAAACATAAAATCTGATCACCTTATGTAAAAAACTAAAATAAAACCTTGATAGAATTTATGTTTAATAAAATCACATTTACTAATTCTATTGAAGAACTTAAAAATCTAATTCTAAGTTGCTTTCTTTTTTGCATAGAGATCAAAGATATTTTGAAGAATAGGTTCTGCAGCATTAAGCATCTACTCTATATTATATATTTTATAAAAAATAAATTTGATAAATACTGAAGAAATAGCCAATAAGATTTGAAATCTTTTAAAATGACAATTCATACAATATTTTTATTTCTTTTAGAATTTATTGATATGTGTGAAAAAACTAATTGCTTATAGAATTAGTATTTCTGATAGAATTACATTTCTCAATATAAAAAGTACAATTTCTATCTCAAAAAAAATAAATTAAAAAAATGGGTAATTCTGGAAGCTAAGATTAACGCTACATAAAGAGCAAGATAGATTAAATTATCAAAAGAGCTCATAGAATAAAGAGAAAAATTTAGAGCAGTGGTTCTTCTGGATGGGGACCAATAAAACATGTAGGTATATTAGTTGAGACCGATGAAAATTAAACTTATATTATTCATCATTAAGGACCTGATGGAGATGTAGTGTCAGAGAGATGTGAAAATTATAGAAATGAAGGATGGGAATAAGTTGAGCAAATCCATGTTAATTCTCATCTTACAATAGGATAAGCAGAGTCTATTGGAGGGAAAGGTAAAGGTTATTTGAGGAATCTAACTTGTATTGGAGTGGCTGATAAGATTTAATCAGCATTATAATCAGGATGAGGATTATAATATATATAGAAAGATATATAAAGAAATTATAAATTTTTAAAAACTTTTATCAAATTAATAAATAATCTAAAAACAAGAATAATTTAGAATGAAAATAAATAACTAAAATATCTTATAGTAACTTATTAAGAGATTTATAAGAAAGGTTGAATGATTAATGTCTCTTAATATATGTATTTCAATAAAATAATTTGTATAGTATAATTATTAATAATTACATAATTGAATAGGATTAAGTAATACTATTGCTATAAATTACTTAATCATTACTAATAACTTCATTTTGGATGAATATGTTTGATTTTTATATTGTTTAACAATTATGATTATATTCATGTGATAAAATTGAAATGGAAATATGAGTTTTATAAATAAATAGTATTCCTTTAATGATATATCGTTATTTTAATTAAAATGGAAGAGCTCATTTGTCCGTAATGCCATAATATATTCAATGAATTCGATAATATTCCTTTGATGCTACCTGATTGTGGACATACTATCTGCTAAAAGTGTATTCAATAGATGTTGATGAGTGCTGATGGTTAGCAGATATGCTGTCCTGAGGATAAGTAATTTTGACAATGAGATATATAAAGTATTCTTGCAAAGGGGAAAACACATATTACAGAGTTTCCAAAGAATTGTTAACTTTTAAAAATGGTAGTGAAGTAAAGACCATCAATAGAGCAACCAGAATATTAATTACATTTAAATAACTTAGCTTAGGAGAAGATTGAATTATGTACAGAACATTTGGAGAAACTGGAGATAGTATGTTTGACAGATAAGATTCGAATTTGTACTAAATGTGCTTTATTTGGTAATCACAGACATCATGAGGTTCGATCAGTTGATGATGTTGTGAGAGAAATAGCATCTAAAGCAGAGAATATTATGCAAACTTATTAGAAAATCTTAGATAAATAATAAGAGTTGACAGAGTCTAAATTTTATGAGCCATTGAATGAAAAGTATTAAATAATGTTGTAGGAGAGTCAAATGACAGTAAGAGAGAAATTTAAAGAATTACATTAATAATTGGATTTAAAAGAGAATAAGTTATTGGAGTAATTGAATGGATTAACATAAACTTTGGAATAATAAACTAAAAGATAGATCAAGGACTCAATTTAATAGAGTTTATAATAAGCAGATTTATGGAAGATAGGAGCTAAAGATAGATTGCTTTATTTTTCAACAAAGACTGAAAGTGGTGAATTACCATTAGATTTACTTTATAATCAAGAATTTAAAGGCAATGCAATATTAGATGAAATGGATAGAACACTTAAAATGTTAGAATAGAGGATTAATAATGTAAAAATAAAAAAGATTAGAGTGGATTTTAAAAAACATGAAATAGAGAAATGTTTTGATACTATGTGTACATTAACATTGTAATTAAATCATAATGAAACTAATCATGTAGAAAATAGTTTCAGTAAATTTGATTAAGAAGAACCTTTACTTTTAAGAGATAATTCTGTAGCAGATTGGACAGATAATGATGAAAATTTAATTTCTTAGGTTACTCATGTAGTATCTAATTCAATGCATGAATTAAAATATACATCATAATCACAACTATAATAAACTAAAAGTCCTGTAAGAACAGAACCAGCTATTCATAGTATGTAATCCATAACCCCCTTGAAATAGTTAAAATAAAAAAGTCCTAGTAAAGATGTACATAATAATGCTACTTTGTAACCACCTCCTCCTGTATCTTTATTGAGATAAGGGATATCTCCTACTCCTAAGTTATAAGAAAAGAGAAAGAAGACTTTTAAAATTAATGATAAATTTGAACCCATCATGTAGGCATTTCGAAATGACAATTTAGAAATAGTGGATTTGTCTAATGCAGGTAAAATATATTTTTATTCTTTAAGAATTGGGAGATGAGGGTTGCAATTTTGTTGCTGAGTAATTGAAAAATTGTAAGAAAGTGAAATAGTTGAAATTAGCCAGGAATAAAATTAGTGATGATGGTGCCAGTATATTATTATAGGCTTTGACTTAGAATGTAAATATTACATCTTTACATTTATCATCCAATATGATTTCAGAAAGAACATTAGATGTGATTCTTAATTTAATTAAAACTGGATAACTACCCAAAAATATTTATTTGTCTTAAACTTTGATTAATGCAACTAAAGCAAAAAAAAAGATTGAAGAATTAAAGAAATTGGGATATGTAGTGAATATTTGATTATTGTTGAATATAAATTATAATTTATCTCTTTAAAGTTTCCTCCAAAAACAAGATATATTAACAATTTCATTTTATTTATCTATCAATTATTTTAATTATTATGATAAATAAAAAAAACATAAAGTGTATAATATCGTAAATAATAATTAATAGACTTTTCTTATAGAATTCAAAGAATGAGTCTAAATATTGATTATGATATCATTAATGAATATTACCATTAATGTTATTTATCTATTAACTATCTTGATATATTGAATTTAAACAATAAAACTCAAACATATACCAAATCATGAAATAATAATAAATTTTTGTAATTAATGACTTCTAATTTATTTTATGTATTTTATTTATATTTATAAACTAATACTAATTTTATGTATGCTAAATGGCGCAGGACAAGTTTACAAAAATATCCAGATCTTTCTTAACATTTTAAAAGTTAACTTATTAAAAGGAGACGTTCTTGTTATTGTGATAATTGTGGTAGGCTAAGCCAATTTTAATAAATTCATCAAAATAACGAATGGGTTCCATTATAAATTTAGATTGATGAATCTAAAAAAGAATTAGTATAGTAGAAAATTTAGTATGATGAAAAATAACAAATCAGTAAGAATTCAAGAACTATGTCTACATCTTTGAGTCAAGCTCCTTCATTTTATAAATAATAAGATTAAAAACCTAGAAGGAATAGTTGTAATTGTTCTGAATGTGGATCAATGTCATAATTTCAAATTGAACATAAAGATATTCCATATAATAAAAAGAAAAAATCCCAAAAGATTTTTGTTATTAAAAAAAAAAATCTTACACATAGCAGAACAATTCAACTTGAATAAATGTAAAGTAGAAGTAGGATTGATCCTAAATAATTGATTTAATAAAAAAAATAAATGATGAGTTTAAGACATATTGATGTTTAACATAGAAGACTTAAAACTGAATGCTTGAGTTTAAGTTAGATTGTTCTTCCTGCAATTAAAGACTTCTCATGCAGATATATTAAAAAGTAATTGTGAAATCTATTCATAATATTATAAAACTATTTTTATTTTTAAGTCTGATCAATTATTATATCTTAAAAGTATAATAAATTAGTAAAAACATATCAATAGTGTTCATCTATAGAATCGATACAAGATCATAAAGAATATAATAATAAGATAAAAGAGTTATTATTGCAAATCTATGTTGATAATAAACAAATTTTTATTTAACAAAAAGTTTAAGATAACTTAAAGATCAATAATAAAGAAAGACTAATTCAAGAAATTAATTATTAAAAAATTACTTGAATGAATTTTAAAGATAATATCTGACCATAAAATAATCATTACTTATAAAATTCTTTAATAAATAATCAAGTTTTGTTGCAATCCTTTTTACTTATTAAAACATTAGATGTCAAGAAAGGGGAGAGCTATATAAATTTATACGAATCAAAAGGATCTATGCAATCAATAGAATTTATTTGTTAAAACAATAGAAAAGTCATCTTTAATGAAAATTTAATTGAAACTAGTAGTAAATAATCAATAGTTTTGAAGAGTTTGAATAGATTAATGCTCTTAGTAAGATTTAAATCAACTTTGAATTGATCATATTATATTAGTTTTATGAATTATTGTAATATTAAAACAACTAGAAGAAATAGCTTTAGTCTTAACTACCAATCGTTATAGTAAATCAAACATCAAAGAAGACAGAGTTGTTGTTGCAAGGAATGTGGAATTTAGAGTATGTTTTAAAAATTACATTCTGATATATCATGTCCAATATAAGAACATTTAAGAATATAAAGAGATAGTACACATTCAAGTGCCAATTCAAATTCAGATGTTTCATTAGAATTAATTTAAACTGTTAAGAAGTTTCCCTTTCTTAGAGGATAACTCAAATTGATTAGTCTACCTCCAAATTATGATTAATAAATAGTGTAGATTAAGAAAAAGAAAAGAAGACATAGTTGCCATTGTAATGAATGTGGTAATCTAAGTAAGTTTTAAACAAAAACTCAAAATCTTTATGTAGAAAGGTATCAACAAATGAAGAAATAATTTCGAATAAAATAAATTAGAAGACACAATAAAAATAAAACATAGACTTTAATTGAAACTGATAATCCTGTTATTCTACATATAAATTCACCAATGATGAAATATTAAAAATATTCAAGAACTGCCAAATTGATTTTAGAATAAAATCAAATAAAGAATTTTCCAAGAATTTGTACAGAAAAGAATATTTGTAGTCCTAAAACTAAATTATTTTTGCCATCTTTACATATACCAAAGACTTTTCGTACTTAACTCTTTTGAATGGAAAGTTATTGATCATATTAGTATACTATTTTAATTTATTTATATAAATGTATGTATTTAAATAATTAATTATTTTTTTAATTAATGAAAGAAATATCAATTCAATGTTAGCAAAGGTACTCAAATTAACTATTATTTTATTAGTTATGAAATCTCACAACCATTAGCATTTACTTTTGATGAATTATCAAAAATACTATATGTAATAGATTAGGAATCAAATATTATTAAATATGAATATAATAATAAATCATTAAACGTATTCTATATGTTTAATATTAGATTTAAACAACTTACAAAGTTGGTTAACAAATTCAGAATACATCTTAAATCCTTTCATTTCAATATTTAATGGAAAATGATCAATTAATTATTGTTTATAGAGATGGAGCAATAATTAAAGTCTAAAAGGATGATGCAGAAGTTGTTGGATAATTTGAATGTGGAGTATTGGGAGCAGCATGGAATCCAAATCAAGAATAACTTGTGGTTATTTGTGGTGATGGAAAATTAGTGAGTTTTGATGCTCAAATAGAACCAATTAAAGAAATTAATATAGATGGAATCCTTGATTAATTAGTCTCTATTTCTTTTAAAAATGATGGAAAAGTATTTACTTTTTTGTTAAATTTATTTAGTTTTTTTCATTAAATTATGCTATTAAGGATGGTAGGATATGTGAAACATATGATGTAAAATTAGAGAAATTTAGAAGTCCAAGTAAGTCAGATCCTGAAGGAGGTTTAGTATAAGCTATCTTTGAAAAACCAAGAAATCTTGTTAATACAGTTTCATGGTAACCTAATAGTTAATTTATTGCTGGTATTCAAGAGAGATAAATTATATTTTGGGAGAAAAATGGATTGAGACATTTAGAATTCAATATATTTGAGGATTCAACAAATGTAAAATGGAGTCCAGATGGAGTTATTTTGGCTGTTTAATAAGGAAATAAAATAACAGTACATTTAAGATAAAATTATAAATGGTATGCAAAAAGAGCATTTAAATTTGAAAAAATAATTGATTATACATTTATTGAGAATAATACTTTAGTAGTGTTTAATTAAAATAATGTAAGTATTTTTTGGTTGAATTATCAATTTAATAATACAACAATGGGTTTATCAACTGATTATGATACATTATTAGTAAGTGATTATAAAAAAGGAGTTATTCCACCACCTTTATGTCATTATTAATTAAAAGTTGATAGTCAAATAGATTTAGTTTATTGTGATTAATTGATATATGTATATTCTTTTGATGGAATTCTGACAATATTTGATAATGCTAATTAATTGGGAAAAATTAAATTAGATATTGAATATGCACATAAATTAATTTGTTATTAAGATAAATAATAAGATGTCATTTTTTGTCATGCTGTTTTTGTTGTACATGAGGCTGAAAGTGACAAAATAGTTGATGTAGTGATTTCACCAAAATTTGAAATTATAAATATATGGAGAAAAGAGTTCTCTTAATCTACATAAGTTACATCATTAACTAAAAAGGGAAATTAAATTATATTACATTCAAGATTTGGAGAAAAGTTTTTATATGATTAATCATAAGAAGAAAGTTTAAGTGAATTTGATTTGGCTAATAAGGAATAAAATGTTTATGATGTAAAAATATAACAGCATAATGAATGGCTTGCTTGTTTAAAATCTAATAGTAAATTAACATTGAACAATCAATTAGTGACTACTGAATGTACATCATTTGCCTTTTTTGATCATTTCTTAGCATTTACAATTAACACAACAGATTAATTTCATAATTTATATATATTAGATCTTAATAAACCAATTTAAATTGATAAGAAAAGTTTGAATATAAGTAATATTGAGAGAGGAGCTAAAATTTTAGCAATTGTTTCTTTGGATAGACTTATTGTATAAATACCAAGAGGAAATTTGGAAACAACAGCTCCAAGAGTTATGGCTTTACATTTATGCAAATAACTTTATGATAATAAACAATATAAAATATGCTTTGAAATGATTAGAAAACATAAATTGGACATGAATTTAATGTTTGATTTTTCTGGTGAATTAGATGTTTAGATCATAGAATAATTATCAGAATAATATTTATAACTTTTTATACAATCACTAAATAATGAAATCAGTTTTGAACTTCCATATGTTTTGACAGCCTAAGAGTACAAACATTAAAAAGTGTTAATAGTAGATAAAACTTTGGGAACATCTAAAATTAATTATGTCTGTTAAAAGTTAATTGATAATATGAAAGAGTAATTTATATTTTAGAATTTAGGGAAACTCATATTTTAACTATAGTGACAGCAATGTTGAAGAAGGAACCTAGTGAAGTTGAAGAAGCTCTTTTGAAGACTTTGAAACTAAAGCAAATAGAATAATAACATGAAGAAGTACCTCCTCATTTGAATCCAGATACTCATAAACCTTATAAGTATTAAATTCATTATTATAATAATAGAAAACATCATAAAATTAAGTCAGAATAAGTTTTGGAATATATTTGCTGGTTAGCAGATGCTAATAAAATGTTTGAAGTAGCTTTAGGGACATATGATTTTGATTTAGTCAAATAAGTTGCTTAATTTACTTAGAAGGATCCTAAAGAATATTTACCAATGTTGGAACGATATTCACAAATAAAAGATCCAATTGATATGAAATCAACTATTCATATTGAATTAAAGAATTATGATAAGGCTATTAAAGTTTTGTCAGAAGGAAATGAAGAATAGAAATAAAAATCTATTGAATTAATAAGAAAATAAAACAGATTTAGAATTGCATTAGAAGTATATAGAAATGATTAAGGAATGATGAAAAAAGTAAAAGAAGCTTTGGGAGATTATTTAAATAATCAAAAATAATATCATTAAGCTTCTTTGGCTTATGAAAGTGCTGGTTTGTATGAAAAAGCAGTTTAAGCATCTTCTGAAATATTAGACACTAAAAGAATATTATCTTTTGATCCAAAAGAAGATTATTTAAAAAATTATAATTAGATTTTATTAGCAGCTGGTAGATGGAAAGATTGTGGATAAGTTTAAGAATATTTAAAGAATTATGAATAAGCTATTCATTATTATTGTAAAGCAGAAGAATGGGAATTTGTAGCTTAATGTTTAAGACATTAATAAATAAATATAGATGATCATTTATAATTAGCATTCTCATTAAAAGTAAATCATTTATTAAATTAACAACATTTATTCATTTAAAAATTAGAGAGATTAAGAATAGTCTAAGATTAGAAAAAAGAACATGGAATATTAGCACCAACTTAAGTTAATGCTGATTTTGATCAAATGAGTGATGTAAGTGGAAAATCAGGAATGTCAAAATCTTCTTATACAATGTCTGTGACAACAGGAGTTAGAAAGAGAAAGCCTAAGGAGAAATCTTTTTTGAATAGAAATATCAAGGAAGGTTCTCCAGTTGAAGAAGAGTATTTGATTGAATTTTTAAAAGACATACAAGCTAAAAGTGCAGATTTAATTAGTAAATAATATTATTTACATATTTAGATTCGATTAAAAAGTTTTAAAATTATCTAATTTTCTTTAATCAACCAAAATTGTCTTTAGAATTATCAGCTAAAACTAAAGAGTATTTAAACACAATTAAACCTGAAATTAAGAGTTTACTCTAATAATAATTTGAAGAATAGAATTAATAAGCTATTGATTTGTATCCATATAAATCTGTTGTTCCAAGTGAATTTAATCAAGCTTTAGATGATTTAATTAAATGATGATATTTATTTATCATTTTATAAAGGAAATAAGATTTTTATATTTTATATTTTATGTAATTTGAGATAAAAGAGATGATTCTGTATAAAAAATCTCTATCATATCCCCTAAATTAATTTCTATTATTATTCATATTGAATATCATTCTTAACTAAAAGTATTGCTTTTTAATTCTAGACAGAGATTTTTCTAATAAATGAGAATAGGTAAAGTAATGATGAGAGTTTGAAAATATATCTAATAAACTTTAATGTATATTTTAGGAGAATAAATCTGAAATTCAATATATTTTAAAAACCTATTTATGAAGTAAAGTTGATTCCTAAATTGAATATTTGGTTAAGGTATCAATCTTTCAAGGATTGAAGGATACTAAACAATTATTCAAATGAATGTAATAAATGAGAGGATGCACTTGAATAACTTGAATTTAGATATAAGTTTTTTATCTAAAGTCTTAAAAATCCATTAGTTTAAGAATCATAATGTCATTATATATTCATTTTGGATATACTCTAACGATTGTCACATGTTACAAATTTACAAACTTCATGTGCTTCAAAGTGGTAAAATTTTTTACCAATTGCCTTTGCATTTTCTCTTTGACTTATTTGATATGATGGAGTTGTTTTTTTATTTCAAATTCTCTAATCACATTCTTATAAGCCCCTTTTTAGAGTTCAGTATTTCTTATTAAATACATGACTCTTCCTACTTTTAGTCAATGAGTCTCAACAGGTGTCTAACTTCATCAGTCATATTTAATGATGGTAAGATGAGATGAAAGATTGATAACTTTGAGCTTAAGACATCTGATAGTATTATCATAAGTGTTTGTATAGTGAAATATGACAATTTGTGTACTTCAATTTATTGAATTCAGAAAGGGTTTGCAAACATGTGTAAATATAATGTATAAAGACTAATTTGGCTTAAAAATTCAAAGAGAGTCGTAGTCTCATAAATTTATGTAAGGATTTAGATAATATAAATAATTTTGATAAAAACTATTCCAAATGGGCATTTGCAAGAGTTAACCTGTAACAACTGAAGATCTACCTACAATGGATTCAAGTGGACATAAGCAAACAGAAATAGTCATCAAGGAGGAAAGTACTCCTAATTATGATGAGAATAAAATCGTCATCATATAAGCACTCTATAGAGGTCATAAAGTTCGTAAATCTCTTATGACAACTTTACAATCTCCAGAGACTTCAGCACCCACTTAGGTGGAGCAGTAGAAATTCTGCTTTGATCCTAACTAACTTTATGATAATGATTAATCTTCAATATTGATGAAGAATGGAGCTATCTATTAAGGAGAATGGAAGGATGGTAAAGCAAATGGAAAAGGTAAATATTAATTCCAAGATAGGTGGTAACTTTTATCTTTATTATTATTAGCTATGTCGAAGGGACTGTAATATTTTTATAATATTTTCATAGTGGGCTTAAAATGAACTTCAAGGGGAGGCTATATATGTAAATGGTACCGAAACGTATAAGGGACAATGGCTTGACAATATGTTCCATGGTGTTGGTGAATATATCTATTCAGATGGTCGCATTTATTAAGGTATTAGATTTAAAAATGTGTAGGTGAATGGAAAAAAGGATTATAACATGGAATGGGCAAAGAGATTTATAAAGATAAATCTAGCTATGAAGGTAAATTCAAAGAAGGAATGAAAAATGGACTTGGAATAATTCGATTAGCTGATGGTTGTGTTTATGAGGGAGAATTTGAAAATGATTAATTTCATGGATACGGAACTTTTGTAAATTTTATTCTTAAATTTAGATTTGGCCAGATAGAAAGAAGGTTTTTGAAGGTTATTGGAAGAATGGAAATAAACATGGAAATGGTACTATGAAATGGGGTGATGGTATTTATCAATTATTAAATAATTTATTTTTCAGGTCGTATATATTCAGGTCAGTATTTGGAAGGATTAAAACATGGATATGGAGAAATGCAGTATAGTGATGGTCGTTGTTATAAAGGAAAATGGAAATATGGATTGTAAGATGGAATGGGAATATTTGTAGATAAAGAAGGAAATGAAAAGAAAGGCTTTTGGCTTAAAGGTAAACTTAAGAAATGGTTTTGAACTTTTAAAAATTTTGATTTTAAATCTCTTCTATTTATTATATTATAATTAATGATTTATAAATAAATATATATATAGAACGAGCAAACATAATAATCATCAATCAATATTGTCATTCATCATCACAGAAATTCTCAAAAGATTCTTCATTTTCATGATCCATCAAATCATCTGGTAAGATCTTTTATTAAAGTTATTATTATTATTATTATTATTATTATTCTACTAATTCTTGATGTTTCAAACTTAATATTTAATATAAATTATTACGCAGCTTAAGCCAATTAGACATCCATCATGTTTATTTTCAACATCTCCTTTGAAATTGTATGAATTCCCTTTCCCTTATTTTAAGTCTATGCAAATTATTCAGCATCATTAAAATAACAACTAATTTCACTGGCTTATTCTTTACCTAAATAACCAAAACTACTTTCCTCTGAATCATTCACTCCTAAAAAAGATATTTATAAAATTATTTACTAGAATCATCTGCTAATAATGAATCATATAAATTTAATTATTCCTTATAATTCTCTTCATATTAAGATAAAATCTTTTCAGGTAAACCCATTTATTCTTACATTACAGCTAATTTCTTTTAAGTTATCAACTTATTAGATGGTATAATATCTATATTTAAATTTCCTTCAGTATCATCCATATTTGTTTGCTCAGCATTTGAGATAAACTAATCGAACATTCTAAAAATATATAATTAAATATACTCTAAAATTGAACTATCACCTACTCTTTTTAAAAATATTTTTGTCAACTATTCTCTTTATAATAATTTTTAGATAGCTTCGAATTGTCCTTAAACGAGATATTTTAATTCTAAAAATTCTATATTTTATTAATAAAATTAATACCTTATTCACTCTTTGTTTCTTTTTATTAAGTATTTATTTTAGATTATAATCCTTAAATTTATGATTTAAAATTCTTAATCACTTCCTCTTAAGATTTCTTTTACTCTATTAACTAATTGTACTCTATGAGTACATTTTCATGTTTTCTTTTAATTGAAGTGAGTATATTTTCTAGTTTTTTCTTTTCCATTTATTAAGTGAAAGATTATTGTAATATTGCAATTTATCTCTTAAAAAAATGATCTATTTAAAGACTCGAATTTGTCTCTTAAGTAGAAGTAGGTTATGTATTTGGTTATTCATAAAATATTATTGATAGTAATTAATTTAATGATTAATTTAGTTTAATCATGAATGCTATCTCTTTTTAATCTTATTAACAATTAATATCTCTCTCTTATAATAGTTATTTTATATTATCTTTAATTTTTTACAGTTATGATTATTCATAAGATATACTGTTACTATTCTTTATTTTGACACTTGAATTAGGACGATGAAATGATGAATTCTTAGTTAATTATGGTGATTGTTAATCAATTTAGATCATTGATTAATTCTTACGTAATTTATGAGTGATCTTTACAGTATCCATTAATTCATTATTAAATAAACTTTATATTTTAGGTTTCGTCTGTTAGCCTGCCATAACATTTAATATGCTACTCAATTTTTGTTGTGACACCTGAAGAGTTGGATTTATGAATGTTCTATTCACCTTCTATAAATTTTCATACGACTTTTAACGTCCCATTACAGGACTGTTGTTATTCGAGATATTTTATGATTGGCTCTCAAATTGCTATTTTGACAATACTTTAGTGAGTTTCTTTTCTTATATCTTTCCCTACAATTTCTACATCTAAGAAGAATATATTTATTAAGCAATCCTTTCATTCTCACTTTACTTTTTCATTATATTTTGTTTGTTGAGAAATTTTTATAAAATAATAAATTTTACATCTTTTTTTGTATAAAAATTTGAAAAAAATAAACAAGTTTTATTAGATTAAACCAATAGATTAATTATCTAAATGGTTATTAATAATCCATTCTTCCTTATTTAACTAAATTTATAAAGATAGTCAATTTATTTTTCGAGAGGCAAATAGTTGTTTTAATTAATTTAAATTATCTTCCTACTTTGTTTGAATATCAATCATCTAATCCAATTTTCTTACCATCTAACTCCTTTCCTAAATTTATTATTTTTATAACATACTTATAATTATTGTTTTTTTTCAAGGTTTAACTTTTTTACATTTTTGCTTAATTAATAATGTTAACTCTCTAATTATTCCTATTTTATTTGCATTTATTTTATTTAATTCGACAAAAGCTCTATCTTTTCCTCCACTCCCTCCTTTACACATTCTTAATCCTCCATCATTCCTATTGGAGATGTTAGTAAACAATCAAATGTCTATTTTGCCTCCTTTTTCACAGTCTAAACACAAGTTTGACATCTTGTCTATGGACTCATGGAGTTTTATTTTCCCATTAAAGACTTGAAAGATCTTAAAATGTGTATTATTTATTCAGGTGTCTAAGCTTATTTTGATTTCATACTTTTAATAATTTTATTGTTAAATAATATTAAATGCGCAAGAAGAGTACTTACATCTTACCACCTTTAGAAAATAAAAAAATTATAGCTATAGAAAAATAAGTTCAAAAAGATATCTCAGAATAACATCTCGCTATGGAATATGTAAGATCAGAAATGAATTCAATTGTTTCACTCAAATATCAAGCTTAAATCAAATCTTTTTCTCATAGTCGCCATAATAGAATGCATGCCAGCCAATCCTTACATTAACCAATAGTTAATTATCCTCCAAAACTTGAATAATCTCAACCTTCATTTGAATTTCTATCTACAATTAGAAAAAGATTCTTGAAATCATCTATTGAACCTCAAAATATTGAATTGCTAAAGTGGTACCAAGAAGAAGAATATTTTGAATTAAAAGAATACTTTAAGAAGAACCCTGTTGATTAATTTATCTAAGGCTTAACATTGCTTTATAGAGCTGTCAAAGATGAAAATATCAAAATGATCTCATTCTTGTTATCAAAAGGAGCTAATATGCATTTAATCTAAGAAGTTATTTATTAATAACTAATTTGAAGAAATGGCCCTATCGATAGATGAGTCCTTATTTATTAGCAAAATAAATAAACAATTAAGAAATCAAAAATTTATTGCATATTTGAATTATTTTAGAAAATTAATGTTTCTCAAATATATATATTAATATCTTTTTGATTTTACTATCAAATACTAAGTTTAAGAGTATTCTCTTTTTTAAAACAATAGTATACTTTAATTTGTAATAAATTATTTATTTTGAATACTAATATTAATTATTATTATACTAATTATAGTTATGAATCTTATTCTTTATAAATTAATATAATATTTAATAACTCTTGGAGAGATAAAATAGATATTATAGAATAATATTATAAATCCTAAAATTCGAGAAGACTTTATCAATATACAAAAGTTAATTTTTTAAGTCACTCCTAAGTATATAATTTTGTAATCTATAATAATTTTGAAAAATTCAAAGATTTCTAGAAAATGAGATCATAATGAAATTAACAAATTATAGCTTAAATTTCATATCATATTTTTAAATCCTTTAATCTATTGCAATAGTATATTGTTTATAAAGATTTAACTGATTTGTATATTTGATTTTTCATTAATAATATATTAATAATAGTTAATTCTCATTTATTCCATCTTAATTTCTTGTTTATTAAATAAAGTGAATCATTGATTTATATTAGAAAAGAAATAAAGTTCTTTTATTTTTTATATTTTGTAAGTGATTAATTATGATAAGTTAAAACGTTAAGGATTAGGAAAGTTGAGAAAGGCAATTATTTAAAAACAAAAGAGTATTTTATAAGGAATAATAATAAAATAAGTGAGTTTTTAATTAAAAATAAAAACGTATTAATGAGAGTAAGGAAATAAATTAAAAAACGGGTAATATTTAATGTCTTGGAGAGTGATTATGATTTCATTTCATTAATATTAATAACATGAGAATAGTCCCTGTATTGACTCTTATCCTTGCAGTTGCAACTGCTAGAGTAGCAAAGACAGAAAGCCCAAAGGAAGTGTTGGCTTAAATTAATAAAGATTCATTTGGAAATTCAGTGTTGTCAGTCCTTCAACTCTAATTGGCCACAGGAGGACCTGTTGGTGAAATTCAGATTCTCTTAAACAATATTGCTTCCCAACTTAATGGAGATTAAAAGAAAGCTGATAAAGTTCATGAGAGTGATACAGTTGCTTTCGAAAAGGTAAGCATAATAATATTGTTTAGATCATTGCTGACTTAGAATAAGAAATTGCTTATCACTAAACCCAAATTGTTGCTCTTTCAAATTTGAGAGATTCTACAACAGAAGCTTTGGGTGAAGCTGAAGCTGAAGTCAGAGTTGTTACCTCAGATATTGCCAATAACGAGAAAAGCTTTGCTGATGAATCTGCTACAAGATAATCATAACATGAAACATGGGTTAGAAAGGATGCAGAACATGTTGATTAAATGGATGCCATTGATGAAGCTTCAAAGATTGTTTAACATTTATAAGCTGGTGTTGCCTTTGCTCAACTCAAAAGTAGATTCGAAAAAGTCTAAGCCAAATTATTGGAATCCAAACATGCTCTCTTCAAAGTAATAATATTTTCCTATATATAATAGCCACTCATCAATGCATTGACATAATTAGCCTCCAAGGTTGATAACAAGAGCATCATCAAAATCTTAGAACTCTTAGCATAAATCAGACAATAATTAGTTGCCAGCAGAGCTTCACTTCTTGCTACAGAAGAAAGATAAGCTGCCAATTGGGAAGTTTAAAGTGGTCACTTATAAGAAGAGCACAAGAGATTAGTTGAAAGAAAGGCATTCTTAGAAAATTCAATTGTCTAATTCAAAGTAACAATCTAAGAAGCTGTCGAAGACTTAGAAGATTAAACTGTATTAATTAAATCACTAATTTTAATAGTTATTCCTTGAAGATGCTGAAGATTCATTGGCCATTTAAGAAAGATGGGCTGCTGAATAAGAATCATAATATGAAGCTCAAACCTTTGAAAGAGAATAACAATTGGAAGTTGTTGAGAGATTATAAGAAGTTCTCACCTAAAAGTTGAGCGCTGCTTCAGAATTCCTCCAAATTAGAGAAGAGGTCTTTTGATAATGAAGTTCAATATATCAATATCCAAATCTTCATAAAATCATTTTACATTTTTTTTTGATTTCTTTTTTAAAAAATTGTATTAGATAGTCTTTTTCTTTTAAGATGCTTAAGTATATATTTTAGAATATTTCATATCAATTAAATATTATATAAATTGTAAATCATTCATCTTTAAATATTAAATTATGAAAGAAATATTTTTTTAAATATTAAAAATCAATACATAATCAGTAATAATATATTAAGTGTAAATGCAAGATAAAATAGAATTTCTTAGTAAAGAAAGAAGAGCAATTTTTTTTACATAAGTGCATACAAAAGATTAAGTTCTAAATTCTTTATATACAGGCTATTTATAGTCAAAACAAAAGATTTTCTTTAATTTATTTAAAAAAAATAATTGCAAGATAATTTGCCATTGTTAATCTTGGTTTTAGCTGAAATCATCTATGATTAAGTAATGACCAAAATTTCTAATTTTTAAATTGCGTTATTAAAAATTAAAAAATAATGGATGTTTCAATCTAATAGATTTCTCTCATTAACCCACTAATAAATTACAATTTAAGGGAATTTTTTTTTATTGACATATATACAAAAAACATTTAAAAATTTAATTCTTTAAAAAGATTTATAGAAATGTTTGGCTTTCCTTTAATTTAATTTGGCTTTGCTTTTCAAAATCTAAACATTAATAATTATTATTATCCATCATTTGATTTTAATACTATTAGCAAAAATAAAATAAATAATCATAATGAAGATTATTGATTTTTTAATTTTGAGTTCAAACAAATATTCATCAAAATCTAAAGCTCTAACTTTATTTTACTATTTTCCCTTTTAAGAAATTAGAAAAATTCCTATTCTTATCTATATATATATATAAAATGCTGAAATTATAATTTTCTTAATGAAATAAATTGACAAATACTCTTATAATCCAAAAGACCTGCTTGGGATGGGTTCTACTGGAACAGTAAATATATTTATTGTAGAATATAGGTTGTAAAAGCTATTGATGCTAAGAAGAATCAATATGCTTTAAGAATAATAAAAAAAAATAGTATAACAGACGATGAAGGTTTGTAATGTGCATTGTTAGATGAAATAAAATTAATGCAATAATTAAAACATCCAAAAATAGTTTAACTTGTTGAAGTAATACAAACAGATAATAATTATTATGTTGTTATGGAACATTGTAAATAAGATCTACAAACTTATTTATAATAAGTTCATAAATTACCTGAATCTGAATGTATTAAGTTATTGATAGATATTCTGTAAGGATTTACAGAATTAATAAAACATGGAATAATTCATAGAGGATTAAAATTGACAAATATTATGTTAACAGATAAAGGTTATAAATTGGCAGGTAAAAATGATTAGTATATTGAGATTGTGGATTATCAAAATGTATGGAAAATTTTAAAACAGACTAATCACGTAAGGATGAAGATTTTAAGTTTCATTCACCTTAAGTTTTGGCAAATAGTAAATATACAAGTAAATGTGATATTTGGTCAATTGGAATGATATTATACAATGTTTTATATGGATATACAGCATGGAGTGGGGCAAGGATAGAATAATTGTTACATAATATAGAACATAAATTGTTAGACTTTCCTGATGACTAAACATCAGTGAGTGATGATATGAAATAATTTATAGAAGGTTGTTTGACAATGGAAGAAGCAGAAAGAATGAATTGGGATGAAGTATTTAAACATAAATTGGTTAAAGATAATTTTAAGGATTATCAAGCACATATAAAGGAAGAATAAATCAAGTTTTTAATGAATGAATTAAGATAAAAAATTATAAAATAAAGTTTGAATATTCGTACTTTATTTTAAGAATTTGATGAAAATGGTGATCAAACATTATAGTTTTCAGAATTAGTTCAATTATTGCATACAATTGATTAAACACTTAGTCGTTAAGATTGTTAAGTTATATTTAAAAAATTGGATTTAGATGGAGATCATTCTGTATCATTAGAGGAATTTGAAAAATGGATAACAGATAATAATACTAAAATGGCAGTGATTTCAAAAGTAAAAGGTCGTTAAAATCAAAGAGTTGTGAGTAATAAATAGATACCATCATTAAAAAACATTTAAAATAATCCTGGAAAACAAAAAGATATGGATCCTAGAAATTAATATATGACATAATAACCAATGTTAGGTTAATCTTAATCAACACCTCATATGAATTAAATGACAATTTTACCAAATAATTTTGATCCTGATATAACTATTTCAAAATTGTAATTAACAATTTAAAGATTTAATATAAATGTTCATGATTTATTCTAAAAATTTGATTAAGACCTTGATGGACTTCTCAATTTTTAAGAATTTGCTTAATTATTGATGTAAATAAATTAAAAAATCATTTTAGAAAAATACAAAGAAATGCATAACCTTAAGAGTTGCATGCAATATTCAAAATATTTGATTTAAATGATGATAATTTTATCTCATTTATAGAATTTAGATAAATTTTGAATTTGTATTAAGAAAAGAATTAAAAACAAGAAGCCAAGTTTTTTAATACTGGATATTAGGTTCCTTAATATAAAATTCAATAGGGTCCAATCTAGTAAATGGGAACTATGGGTTAATTATACTAAACAAGAAATTCATTATATCCAGAAATGCTTTGATAATAATATATTATAAATAAACTGAAAATTAATATTAAGAGTTATTATTAATAGTCATTAAATTTCATGTATAATATCTAATTTTTCCATTTATAATATCTATCTTATTCTAAGTAAACCTTATCCATTAGATTCCTTCTTTTTAATTATATTTATTTCTTTATTCATTTGATTTTGAATTTTTTTCAATTTGATTAAAGGAGACTATTGAATTTCTTCATCGAAATCTTGTTTTAATTAATTAAGGGGAGATTTAGAATTAGTATTTGGACTTGGTTCCTATTATAAAACTGGACTCTTGGTCATAGTATTACTTCTCATATGAAGATTCCTGCTATAATATGTATTTTTATCTCCACCTTAAGAAATATCACAAATATCATCACTAGTTTTATAATTATTTTTGTTGATAAGTTCAGTACTATTAGGTGATATTGGATCAATCTATTAAAAATAAAGCCAAGGATGCTGTAAAGCCACTATAATGTGAATCTCTATAATATACATTACGCGGATAATCTTTGAGTTGGATTAGGATCCAATAGTCGCTTAATCAAATCTCTAGCCAACAAGGAAATATTTTCATTGAGTTCAAAAGTACCTTTTAATATCTTCTCAATGGTTCCTAATACACTATCTTCAAAGAAAGGGAATTGACCAGTCAATATACGAAATAAGCAAACTCCTAGTGACCATAGATCTACTCTTTCATCATAACCTCCACCAGTCAATATTTCAGGAGCAGCATAATAAACATTTCCAGTTCTTGTCCACATATTTACATCCACAAATTCTGTCCCATTATATTTCTTGAATCTTCTACTAACTCCAAAGTCTATGATTTTGATATCAAGTGACTTTTTGTTGATTAATACATTATCTGGTTTTAGATCTCTATGAGCTATTCCTCTTTCATGGATATGTTAAAGAGCTAATAGAATATGTCTTATTAAAATCTTAGCTTATTCTTCCCTAATTGAAGTATATACAATTACGTTAATCTCTTGTGTTTTTTAATTACATCTTCCAAACTACGTAAATTTGAGTATTCCATTACTAAATATAAAGTTTCAGATTGTTCATCTATGTAACATTCATATACTTTTATAATGAATTCATGATCTAGTATTCTAGTATTTTTATATGCTTCAGTAAAAGTTTTAACAAGCTCAGGGTCTCCACTTCTTGAAATTTTGACTGCTACTTATTCACCAGTTTCAACTTTAATGGCTTTTCTCACTAATCCATGTGCTCCTTCCCCAATCATATTGCCTAATTGATACTTTGAATTAAAATTGATAGCAATAGTCTCTATATGTGGTAATGTTATTGATAGTTTATTTTCATCTTCTATCCTAATGGCTCTTAATTTAATTATAGAAATATTATATACCTTTTAGGTTATGTTTTAGGTTGTTCAATTTTCTTTTACATCTTAGGGAATAGCTATTATTGTAAGGCATTCCTTATTTTGGCTTAATTTTGCTTTTATTACATTCTTAATTTCTTTATATTATATGGGTTGTTGTATAACTAAATAAACTAAACATAAAAAGTATGCTAATGCAGGTTGTGATGAAAATCCAATTTAATAACCTGAAGAATCAAATTATTTTGAGGTTTGTCAAGAAGTTGTTATTCCTAAAGAATAAAAAATTGAGAAATAAGAATAAGAAAAATAGATCTCTTGGACAGAAGGGGAAATGATTGGATAAGGAGCATTTGGTAGAGTTGTTTTAGGAATGAATAGAGTTAGTGGATAAATTATGGCTGTCAAATAAGTGTTTATTAAGAATGGTGATGAGAATGTAAATTCAAATGATTATATTAGAAAGTATAATCTATCTAAAGAGAAATTGAAATTTTGAGTAAATTACAACATCCTCATATTGTACGTTATTATGGTTCAGAAACAAAAAATGACTAATTAAATATTTTCTTAGAATATGTTAGTGGTGGTTCTGTACTAACAATGATTAAAAGATTCGGCAAATTTAAGGAGTCTTTGATAAAAGTTTATTTGAAATAGATTCTATTAGGATTAAATTATCTACACACTAAAGGAGTGATTCATAGAGATATTAAAGGAGCCAACATATTAATTAATTAAAATGGATAAGTGAAATTAGCAGGTATTTATATTGTATAATTATTATTATAAAGATTTTGGAAGTGGTAAATAATTATCTGAAATTAAACATGATATTATTGGTTCTTTATGTGGTACTCCAAATTATATGGCACCAGAAGTTATTAATTAATAACATTATGGAAAGTATACTTAATTTATTATATTTTAAAATAGAAAAGCTGATATTTGGAGTCTTGGTTGCACAATGATTGAAATGGCTACTGGAAATCCTCCATTTTATGAATTTAAGAATATTTATACAGTCATGGTTAAAATAAGTAAATTAACTGAAACCATTCCTATTCCAGAAGAATTAAAATCTGAATAAGCTAGAGACTTTCTAAAAAGATGTCTCTAATTGAATCCAGAAGAGAGATGGGAAGCAGAAGATTTACTTTAACATCCATTTTTAGTTTCTAAAGAATAAAGATATAGTGGTATTAATTCTGCTTAAGAGAAAAAGAATGTTTATATTAATGATGATTTATTATTTTAATTACATTCAGAACTAATACCTAATAAAAATAAAAAACTATAGTTTTCATTTTAGTTAGATGATGAATCATAATCACAAAATGATAATTAAAATTAAGATTAAGATATACCTTAATATTAAGAATAATAAGGATAAGGTTCATAAAGAGAAGAACCTATTACAAATATTATTAAAATAACAAATAATAATAATTTGTAATCAGAATCTGATTAAGAACCTTATAAAGTTATTATTGAATAGAATTTTGATGATAAAATTGACTTATAATAATTTGATTCTAATTAATCATGTTAAAAAAACTAAAAACTTATTATAAATAGACAATGCTCATTAAATTAAGCATTAGATTAGGTTTTAAATAATGCCTATGAATCATAATAATCGAAATCACTTAATCCTCTAAAAAACTGATTTCAACTTAATTGATTTTTATATTTATGTTATAATTCTAAGGATTTGATTAAACATACTTTATTAATTTAAATTTCTAAATTCCAGTCAGATATTTATTTGAATCAAATAAAAAGTTTTTTATTTCTTTATAAAAAATTTTGATTTTCAATTGATTAGATCACATTTCTTATCTTAATACAAGAAATAAATTTACTAATTATATGTTTAAAACTTTAACTTTCATTTCTTATAATATTTTTATAATTCTTGCTTTGTATTAAGTGAAATAATTAACTTTAGATCAATGAAGAGACTTTTTAATTTAACAATTGAGAGGATGAAGGTATGTTTTAAAACTTGTCTGGAAGTTATTTAATCCATTTTATTAAAATAAAATAAATGCAAGGCTTCTTAGTAGAATGTAAGGAAATTAGTAGAGATTATTCTTATGACTGGGTATAAGGTAATGCAGAATTAGTAGCAATCGAAAAAGGAATTTCAATTTTACACTTCAGTTAAGAATTATAAAAAAGAGATTTAGAGATGGAATTCAGAGTATTGTTTATTTTCTATTAAGTTATTACGTAGATTAACAGAAACTTAATATCATAATGAAAATTTATTTGACTTTCATCCTGATATACAGAAACTAAATCGATATAATAACATTATACCATGTATATAAAATAATGATAAATTAGTCAAGCATTCAATAGTAAAATTAAGAAGTGAAGGAGATGAAGAAGAAAATTTAAAGGAATGTTATATTAATGCTAATTTTATAAATGTAATTGATAGGTTTGTTAAATTTAGTTAATAAATGGAAAAGAGAAAATGATTGTAGCTACATAGGGTCCTTTAATTTAAACATTTGGTCACTTTTGGAAGATGATTGTTTAGGAAAATATGAGTATGATAGTCATGTTGTGTAATTTGAGAGAGAACCAAAGAGTTAGTAAATTTATATTATTTAGGCATAATGTGAATAATATTGGCCTAGAAATGTTGGTGAAACAATGATATGTGGAAATATTTAAATATATCTATAAAGCTAAGAAGATCTTGGAAATAATATTACTAAAAGAGTTTTGAAAGTAACATAAGAAGGAGAGGAAAGAAATGTTATTTAAATTTAATGGAGTGGATGGCCAGATTAAGGAGTTCCTTCTCCAAGTGATTTTGATGTGATCAAAGAATTATTAAATATGATAATTGAAAAGTTGTTAGTAGATTAAAAAGTAGTTTTTCATTGCAGGTATTAAAGATTTAATTATTAATTTAGTGCTGGAGTTGGAAGAACTGGAACTTTAATAGCATTATCAAATTTAATGATATTACTTAAAGCATATAAATAATATATTGGTGATGATTATTAAAGTAATTATTTATCATTTATTTTAAGAATTGGAAGAAAATCCAGAACTTTATAGACTTTCCATATTTGGAATTGTGCGTAGATTGAGAGAACAAAGATGGGGCATGGTTCATACTTCAGAATAATATTCCTATATATATAAATTTATTGATGAAGCTATAAGATATTTGTTTAACAATTGATAATGATCATTAATAAATAGTATTATAAAATTAAAAATAATTTGTTTTGACAAATATTCATCAACTGAATATTTTAGTTCTAAATTTTGTTTCGCTTACTTTATGTATTTACTCATATTTTTTATCCAATTCAGCATGTTTTATATATGAATTTGGATGAACAATATTATCAGATAAGTATGAATAATTATTTGTAGTAGTAAAATTACTAATTCGACTCGAATATTTATTTTAATTTATTTGATGAGGTTTCATTATTTCACTTTTTGAAGATAATTACATTGTTGATTATGATTGAAATAAGGGAACTTTGAGATGTGATTTAGCTGTATTATTATATTACGATATGATATCACCTGCTGATGATTTATTTGATTCAAATAAATATTATCTGTTTTTCATATAAGAACTTTTATTTTAAGATGATGAATTCTAATAATTACTTAAATATGAACTAGATGCAGTATTAATAAGAGGTTTGCTTACATTTTTTGGAGTAAGAGTCATAATCTATGATACAGTAGCTGATATTTTTTAAGCGGATTCTCCTGTCAAAGCCTAGAGTTGTTAAGACCATATATTTAGCAATCCAGCCTTTTTCCTTAGAAAGGCTATACAAGATAAGGCTAATATAGTTTAATCGTTTGAAAAATACACTTGATCATCTACTTATTTAATTGATTTTACCTCTAATCACAGAATAAGCAGCTTCTATATATTTGTTTTCAACTTCATTCACATAGTTATTGATTTATTTTTCATTTAAATCTCTAAGCTTAATATGAGTTATTTATTAATCTTTATTTTCCTTTTATTATGGTGGTTGTGAGAGACTGTCATCATCATCTATGACACCAAAAGAAAGCAAAGATTCTATTCTATCAAGAAGAGTAATTCTCTATAATTTCCAATTTAAAGATTCAATTAAAGTTTTTTCAGCATTACAAAACTCTTATGTTGTAAAGTTATTGATTTCAGGATGAGAAGTCATTGAAGAATAACGTTTAAGTTTACTAATGAAAGGGATTCTTTCATCAAGTTCTTATGCTTTAGCTGCCAACATCAGAGCAGCAGCAGCATATAAGAAAATCTAATTTTCATTCACATTAACTTTATTGAAAAAGTGGTCTATATATGTAATAGCCAAAAAAGCAGTATTAGTACTTAAGTTTAATCTTTCAGATGCTTATTCCAAGAAATCTATTATTGGTAACCTAGCTATTTAGTGTTAAGTTATTGTAAGTGGAGCCAAGATGTTGGACAAAATCTTTAAGGGATTGAAGAAGGTGTTGTACTTCATTTTGATTGTTTTGTAGACTCTTGTGGTTGACTTTAATTTAAAACAATTAGATTACATTATTGATAAATATGCCACATTATTGACAAATCAATTTTTCTGAATGAATCTATCTTGTAGTATGATTGCAACCAAATATCTCCAAGTATTATGCATCATAATTATACTCTTGTTATTCTGTCTAACTCATATACGTTAGATTTTATTTTTAATTAAATGGATAATGTCAACTCAAATTCTCGTAGATTACCACCTTTAGAATAAGACAACCAAAACTTTAGGGCTATGTCATAATAAAGGAATACAATAAAATAATAGATGATAAGTAGTAACAACTTTGAACCGAAGACAAGTTTACAAAATAAAAAAACTGGTCCTGCACCTATTGAATAATTAGATAATTTTATCTGTTATTTTTGTGGAGGTCAAGATTGTAAAAAGGAATAAGCTATTTCAAATAAAAATAAAAATGCTATAGATGGATTGCATTCAGATTGGATAACTGATGACATATTGGCTATGTAAAGATTAAGTATGAGATTAATGCCAATAGTTATACCTTAATTCTAATAGTAAAGTGATTATCATATAAAGACATAACATCGGAGCAGTTATAAATTTGTAATAATAAGGAGAACATGCTTAATGTGGACCTGGTATAATACCTGGTATTGGATTTTCATATAATCCTGAATCATTATAATCAGGTATTTTAAATCTAATTAATAGCTAAGATCAATTTCTTCAATTATGGTTGGGAAGATATGACTGCTGATACTACATTTGAAAATCTCCTAAAAATATGTTCAGCATTTGACCTTATGTAAAAGAAAGGAAAGAAAGTTGCTGTACATTGTCATGCTGGTACAGGTAGAACAGGAGTGGCAATAGTGGCATGGCTAATTTATGGAGAAAGAATGTCAGCTGATGATGCTATAAGATTATTCTAATCTAGAAGAAGAGATTCTTTGGGTAAAGGTGCTTAAAAGGATTTATTGAAAGCATTTGAGAAATGTATATAAATATCATAAAAGATAGTCTTATAGAATAGAAAATGGTATAATTATACAAAAATATCTGGATTAATTAATGATGATATAGTTTAATAATAAAACTAATATGTAGTTAATGAATTAAAGAACAAAACTAAGTTGATTCCTGCACCTCTTTATGTTATATTCAACCGATTTTTGTTACTTTTGGAAGATTAATTATTAACATCAAAATAGATATTATAAGCATTTATTGGAGATCCATAAAATATACAACCTGTAAATAAAGAAGAATTATAAAATCTATAAAAATAATTTGATGTCCACAATTTTCGAATAGGACATGTAACTGATATGAGATTACTTGCTTAATTGTTATTTGTTTATTTTGATTTTTTGCCTTGGCAATGTGTTACAGATAAATTTGCATTAGAAATTAAGCAACATTTAAATTAAAAGTAGATTTTAGACATTTTTAAAGTGTGTTTTAAAGATTTAGAAATAGGATCATTCTATATATTAAAGACAGTAATTTAATTTGCTGTTTAATTAAAAATTGCAGATCCTTAAATTGATTTAAAAATATTTTTCTATCGCTTTTCAATATCTTTATTATAAAAATAAAGATATCTTGATGATCATTTTATTGGACATTCACTTGTGAGAACAAATAAAATAGAGATTGTATAAATTGTGTATTTATAATAATTTTTGTAAAAATGGCATGATGAAATATTAAATTTAAATGAAAAAATTGTAATAATTTTATATGAATATATATAGTTTGAAGAGAATTAGTTATCAAAAGATTTTAGAGAATTAAAAGGTGTGTGAAAAAATTAATTTTATATGTATATCATACAATTAATTCAGTTTCCTTAAGCAAAGGTTTCTTTTAACTTTTTATTGTAAATTTAAACTCACTCTCATTTGTCTCTGTGCTAGCAGCACTCTTTATTAATTTTAATTATTATTCTGCACTAGCCTTTCTTGATTAAATTCTATTTATTCCTTATCTTTCTAAATATCTTTCATAAGTTGTTTGTCCTTTAATTAGATTATAAATTTATATTGTAAATAATAACCTAATTCAAATAATTTATTACATCACAGGCAAAATAAATAAGCAACCAAAAATCATAGTATAATAAAATGTAATCCATTAAAGTACA